CCTTTGACCTTTTCCCTAATATCCATGTATAAATGTTCAACCAGGTTGCTCGCGATGCAGTGTTAAATTTTAGGCCTCAGATCAACATTACACCATACCATGCGAATGTCAAAGATCCTGAATTCAATGTTGACTTCTTTAAGACATTTACCGTTGTTTTGAATGGGCTTGACAATTTAGATGCCAGACGGCATGTGAACCGCCTTTGCTTGGCAGCTGGTGTTCCATTGGTTGAAAGTGGAACCACTGGATTTCTGGGACAGGTGATGTTTTCTTGTAATGATTTATAGGAACTTCTGCTCATTTTGTGCCATTAATATTGCAGGCTTCCAAGTTCCAACATTGAGATAACTATCTTTTGTTCATTGGCATAAAATGTACTCCACAGCTCATGTGATTGCCTAAAAAGTCATTTATTTGGTCTCTTTGTTACTTGCACTTTCTGCTATTTAACGTATCTCCTGAATTCCTGCTGTTTTACTTATGTGTGTGATCTACTGTTGAAACTATGTCTGGCCTTTCTAACTGGTTACTGTTGAAGGCAGGTCACAGTTCATGTGAAAGGTAAAACTGAATGTTATGAATGCCAGCCTAAGCCAGCCCCAAAAACTTACCCAGTTTGTACCATCACAAGCACTCCATCAAAGGTATTAGCATCTGTATTTTAATTTGTTCTCATGTTTTTTATGGGGGAATTTTCTTTTGAAGTATTGTGTTGGGCTTTCATCACAAACTCGGTGAATAGCGACCAGGATTCTGGAATAGTAATCTTGGTTTTCTTCAACGAAATTTGTGATGTCTTGCTGCCTAAGTGAATTTGAGCTATATGAAAGGGTCATTTATGTTGATGTAATAGGCTGAGCTGACTAATATAGTAATATTTGTTAGGCTGTGTGCTCATTTTGGATAAATTGTGGTTAATGTATGCCTGATTGCATCCTCTTTATTTTGTTTCCCTTTCCTTTCTCACCTTTTATCTGTAACTCATTGCCATTACATGTTTCACTCGCAGTTCGTTCACTGCATCGTATGGGCGAAAGACCTGCTTTTTGCAAAACTACTTGGGCCTAAAAATCAAGAAAATGACTTGAATGTGCGTTCTGGTGAGGCATCATCTGAACAAACTGAAGATGTTTTTGAGAGGAAAAATGATGAAGACATTGAGCAGTATGGAAGGAGGATATTCAATCATGTATTTGGTCACAATATTGAGTTAGCCTTGTCAAATGAAGATACATGGAAAAACCGTAACAAACCAAGGCCTATTTATTACGAAGACGTAATAACGAGCGAGCTTCCCCGGCAAAATGGGAATCAAACTAAAAGTTCAGTACCTGGAGATACTTCAAGTAATTCTGCTATGTCAACTCTGGGTCTTAAAAACCCACAGGATCTTTGGAGCTTAAAAGAAAACTCAGCTGTGTTTCTTGAGTCCCTGAAGTTATTTTTTTCAGAACGGGAAAAGGTTTGATAAAAGTTTCCAAGTACCTAAGTTATGGTTTCCTTAATTATCTAGTTTCTTGATGTAGTTGTTGTCTGATCTTTTCTTTTCTTTTCTTTTTTTTTTTTCGCAGGAGATTGGTAACTTGAGCTTTGACAAAGATGATCAATTGGCTGTAGAATTTGTTACTGCTGCAGCAAATATAAGAGCTTCTTCTTTTGGCATCCCTTTGCATAGTCTTTTTGAGGCCAAAGGTGTTGCTGGCAATATTGTACATGCTGTTGCTACAACAAATGCCATAATTGCTGGGTTGATTGTGATTGAAGCTATTAAGGTGCTGCAAAATGATGCAAAAAATTATAGGTGGGTTTTTCTTCCTTGTTTGTTTATTTGTCTTTTCTTTCAATGACAGAAGTATCGGGTGGTGTTTCTTAGAAACATATAATGTGGTGAAATTGATAAAAACATCAATCCCTTGGTTTAACTGATTAAGAATTACGGTACTTTTGTTGTACGTACTGAAAATATTTTTATGTAGGATGACTTATTGCCTTGAACATCCTTCGCGAAAGATGCTTCTTATGCCGGTGGAGCCATTTGAACCAAACAAATCCTGCTACGTCTGCTCCGAGGTTTGTTGTTTTTTCCGGCTTTTAAACTGTCTTGTTTAGCTTTCACGTGACTCAACGACTAAATTTTATGGTATCTTTTATGCAATTAGACACCTTTGACCCTCGAGGTGAATACACATCGTTCAAAGTTGAGGGACCTTGTTGACAAGATTGTGAAAGCAAAGCTTGGTATGAATTTGCCTTTGATCATGCATGGTTCTGCCGCCCTTCTCTATGAGGTTGGCGATGATCTTGAGGAAGATGAGGTTGCCAACTATGCAGCAAATCTCGAAAAGGTTGTTTGCATCTTCTTTTTATCTGCTACTTGATTACTTTCGACATTTCATGTTTTCATCAGCTGGGGGTTTACTTATTTTGATTTCTTTATTTTTTTTATTTATTTTTTTATTAGGTACTCTCTGAGCTTCCTTCTTCAGTTATTGGTGGAACCATTCTTACTATTGAGGATCTTCAACAAGAACTGAAATGTAGCATCAACATCAAGCACAGGTTTTTTTTTCCATACTGTCAATGCTTTTTTTCTGAAATTTAATGTCTGCATAGAGTGTCATCAGCCAACCAACTTTATAAAATTTCTGCACGTGATATTGTTAGGATTTATTTTTTCTGCTCTTTCTACCTGTTTGTCTTTCTGTTTTGGCCAGTTTAGTTTTTTGATAATTTCTCAAAAATAACAAGTGGTTTAGCATTGGTAAATAATTTCTGAGGAGTTAATTTCATTTACTCATTTCCTGTTGAGCATTGTTTTCACTTTGAGGTCTTATTGTAAGCTTGAGAGCTTGTGCTCTATTTTCCTCCACTCAGGCTATATCTTTCTTCACCAATTGGTTGGTTATTCATTTACTCGCCATCTTTGTCCATCTGATCATTTGAAATCATGACGTTTTGTGCTTAATTTTTTCACGACATCAAACATCACACCATTTTATTTATAAATTTTTGCCATATTTCTGAACATGATTATTATATGAATAATACTTGATATTCTTTTATGTTTTTCGCCTTCTATTTATTTCACGTCACTTTTGCCTATTCATGACTTTGTATTCGTGTCCTTTCGATTTCCACATTGGGTTGTCCATATTTTGCTCCCTAAATTAAAAAAATAATAAAAAAAATTCAGAGACGCATTTGATGAGGAAAAGGAACCCGAAGGTATGATCCTCTCCGGATGGACTCCGATTGTCGAGAAAAGCGTCGACACCACACCTAACAATGGTGCCAGCACATCCGGAGCAACTGAATCCACCACAACCGACATAGTAAACGAAGATGATGAAGATTCGACAATCATGATGACATCATCACAAGCTGGCAAAAAGAGAAAGATAGACGAGTCTGATGGTTCGTGTGTTTCGCCGGGTCCCACAAAGATTAAAAGAAAATCGGATGGGGTTGATGGTGATGATGATGACGTTGTTATGGTTGAGGATGATGTAGTAATGGTTGAAGAAGCTTAGCTTGGTTTACGTTTAGTTTTAATTTAATGTTAATTCCTACGTGCATATCGTCTCGCCCTAACCTAGTCGAGTTGTGGAAATACAGAATGGGATCGATGTGTCATTCTTTTGGTGCTTGTAACTCTTGAGGTTTTTTCTATTCTGTTTTCTAGACTTCCTTCAACTTTAGACAGGAGCATGGGTTAAGTTACCATGGATTTTGTCCCAATTTGATGTAGTCAGTGACTACACTAAAGTGGTAATATTAGCACTGGTTAAAACCCATCATTATTGATGGTCTTCTAACTCTTTTGTATTTCCTTATCTTTTCTTGCATTATGTTGGAAGGATTTTTATTTAATTTTATTTATTTATTTATTTTTTGTATAACAAAAACAATGGTGAAATTTTAGTGGAGTACAATAATTGCGCGTTTATTAAAACGAATATAGATTCATATAAATTTACGGAAGCAAATATCAATAAAAATAAACTTTTAACAGAACATATGTCACTCCCTCTTATAACTTTTTATTTAGTAAGATTTTAAGTATTTATTTATTTATTTTTTTTGGTGACGACATATATTCGCCAAACTCCCTCTCGCTAACATACTTTGTACTCTACTAACTTAACTACTCTTCCGTCTATAGCGTGATATTAGACTGCATCTACGGATCCCTCCAAGCAGTATGATAATGGTCGTCTAAAGTGCACGGCAGAAAAACAAAACTAACCCTCGAATTCCCATCGATAAACCAACAAGCTAGAATCCAATCTCACACCTACGAACAATGGAACTTAATAACCACAACTCGTGAAACTAAGGTGTGTGTACTAAACTATACATGATATGTAGGTTTATTGGAAATTGAGAGTTTTCGAATCTTATTGATCTTCAGGTTCATCTTTGGAAATTAAATTATTTTTAAGTTCATGCACGATTATGTTCTCAAGATTCTTCTAATTCGACTATGCATCTTTTCTTCTAAAATATTATAAATTGAAAATCATCATTTTTTAAAATTATATATAATACATAATTATATAATATTTTATATTATTTATATTACAATCTCATACATCTGCACCTATGTATTAGAGTTTATGTATTAATTTCAAATTACAATTTTTTTTTAAAGATGATAAATAGGAATTATTTTCAATTTACGTGAACATCTATTTGAGTATTTTCTTATCCCTCAAGACAATACTGGGTATATAAAATTGTAAACCAAACAAGGCATAATAAGACCCAAAATTCACTCATTCTCTACTCTTCAAAACTCTTGGCTTGCTTGCGCAGTTCCTATCAAAAAAACATATCGAGCAATTCGAGCTTCATAAAAGCGAAAAATTACTCCAAAATAAAATCGAGAATTAAGTAGAAAGATAAAGCCGATGTCCGCCGAGAACGACGATGCTGCTCGCCGTAAGACGGCGATTGCCGAGTACCGGAAAAAGCTTCTCAACCACAAGGAACTCGAAGGTCGAGTTCGATCTGGTAATTTGGCTCCTTATTCTGCAATTTTCATAGTTTTAACGTTGTACTGGCTGATCCATGGTTCAATTACCTCATGTTGGTTTACAGTAATAGATCTATGAAGTGTTTGTGTGTTTAGTATCTGTTAATCTCCGGTTGTTTGTATTTAGCTCTTTTCGTATGTAATAAATGTTGAGATGATTCGAGGTTTTGTGATGGTAGCTGATATTGATTGAGAGCTGAGGTATAAAATGAAGATGTAGGCATGTCGTTTAGTTTCTAGGGTTTTTCGGATTTGAAGCTTTGTTTGCAGTTACATTTTAGTATTGCCTTACTATTTACTATTATTTAATACAATTTGCTGAAATATACTTGCGTTCGGATTCTTTTTAAAGTTTATTTGGGCTCAACAGGTAGTTCTATTGACTTTTGGATGTGAAACTGCTTGTGTTTGCTTCATTCCTTGGTCTTCCTATAATGGCTGGTTCTTCTATGTGTGTTGTGTGCTGATGAATTAGGTTTCCAGATTAATTATTTATCAAGGACACTAGTAAACTTGATTATCCTCTTCTTGTGCGGATGAGTGTATGTATATTTGCCATTTCACCTGGCTGGAGATTATTTTTCCTTTATTTCTTCAAAAATTTATGTGATTTAATTCACTCTTTTTATGTGTATGTCATCTGTGCTCGATTGAGTATTGGTCCTGAGCTATTCTGTTTTGTAAATATGAATATTTACTGTATATTTGGTCTTGGGATATGAGCCAGTATATTAGCGAATACAATATTTGATAACAATATTTGATTATATGTAGCAAGGGAGAATTTAAAAGTGGCTAAGAAGGAGTATACTAAAACGGAGGACGATTTGAAGTCTCTCCAGAGTGTTGGACAGATCATAGGCGAGGTTCTGAGGCCTCTGGATAATGAACGCTGTAAGACATTTTCTTTAATTTTATTCATTCATTCATCATTTTCTTTAATATCGCACATCTGATCGTATTTCCACTGATTTGAAGTATTGCCCGATTGTTTGATGAGTAGATTCATTAGTGATCTTTTTCTTTCATCTGGATTTTTTTTTTTTTAAAAAAATAAGATATTGGATAGAAGAACTAAATAGATTCTGCATTCAACAACTACATGGCCTTCTTTTGCAATACATTTGTTCACATGGCACTAGCCGAATAGTGTTTAGACTATTTTTTTGATTTCTTACATCGAGCCAGGCCACTGTGACATCATGATTAGCGATTTCTCAAGATATAGAATCTTTATACATCTCCATTTGATGCTATTTTATTGTTCCAATCATTGTCTTTTGCTACTCTAGTGATCGTTAAAGCCAGCAGCGGCCCAAGATATGTGGTTGGATGCCGCAGTAAAGTGGACAAAGACAAACTAACATCAGGCACCAGGGTTGTTCTTGATATGACAACACTTACAATTATGCGAGCTCTCCCTCGTGAGGTACAAATGTGTGCATACAGCTTTTGGTAGCTAATGATGGCCCAGATATTTGCCTAGACTTTTGCTGACAATTGTGATGTCTGATACAGGTGGATCCTGTTGTTTACAATATGCTTCATGAGGATCCTGGTAATGTTAGTTATTCTGCTGTGGGTGGCTTGTCGGATCAAATCCGGGAACTAAGAGAATCTATTGAATTACCTCTCATGAATCCCGAGCTATTCCTAAGAGTTGGCATTAAGCCTCCTAAGGTAATGGCTATGTTTGGTAACAAGTAAGCTAGCTTATAGCTTATTTGGCTTGCTTATAAGTTTCTTGTATAAAAATAAGCTTCGTTTGGTAGGACGAACTTTTAAAAAACTCGAGCTTATTTGGGTAGCTTTTCAAAAGCTCGTTGAATTTTTATTTCAGCTAGATTATCAGCTATAAGTTATAAGATCGAAAATCACTTATAAGTTATAAGCTCGAAAATCACTTATAAGCTATAAGCTAGCTTACCAACTAGTTTTTACCAAACAGAGTACTAAATTCTTTTAAAACTTTTTTTTAATAAGTCATTTTTCCAGTCTCTCTTGCTTATTTTTTCTACTGATATTATTGACTTGTTTCAGGGTGTACTTCTATATGGGCCTCCTGGTACTGGCAAGACACTGTTGGCCAGAGCAATTGCTAGCAACATAGATGCCAATTTCCTAAAGGTGGGGAAGATGGGGAAAAACTCCATGTACATTCTTGTTTTATCAAATGCAACTTATTTGGATAATAACTGACCAATGCAGGTCGTGTCGAGTGCTATTATCGACAAGTACATAGGGGAGAGTGCTAGATTGATCAGGGAAATGTTTGGCTATGCCCGTGATCACCAAGTAAGTTTTATCACATGAAGTTTACTTATTTTGTTTTTGTTGTCCTTTTATATAATTTGATTTTTAATAAGAATATCTATCTGTCTTTTTCTTATTCTGAAGCCCTGTATCATATTTATGGACGAGATTGATGCCATTGGAGGACGCCGTTTTAGTGAGGGAACAAGTGCCGATCGTGAAATCCAAAGGACACTTATGGAGTTGTTAAACCAGCTTGATGGGTTTGACCAGCTTGGGAAGGTTCAATTTAAACATTGAGTGCATGCTTGGATACAAAACTTTTCATAAAAATCTAATCATTTTTAATTAATCATTTTTTTTAACTCAACTTTAACTCAATCCCACTATCCTCATTATTATCAATATAATTCAATAATATCACTCAATCATTCTTACATATTACATAAACTTTAATTCACTATTCATCCACTCACATAAATTTAACTAACCATTACTTCACAATATCTCTCTCCCACTTTTACATCAAATCAACTTTTATTATTTTATTTTGAATATATTTTTAATATAAACTCAAAATCCCACTAACTAACTATACCACTTTTTTCAAAATTAACCATACCAACTAAAAAATCTAAATAAAATCAAAACATCTTTGAGCATGTTCACTCGGTACCTAAACAGTAAACATATGTCGTGTAAACTTGCATATAACACTATGGGTTTGCGATGTGTTCCTGAATTATTATTGATTCGTGCACAGGTAAAAATGATAATGGCGACAAACAGGCCTGATGTTCTGGACCCTGCACTGCTTCGTCCGGGTCGCTTAGATAGGAAAATTGAAATTCCATTGCCGAATGAGCAGTCGAGAATGGAGATTCTGAAAATCCATGCCGCTGGTATAGCTAAGCATGGTGAAATTGATTATGAGGCTGTGGTGAAACTTGCTGAGGTAACCTAGAAAAGGCTTTTCTATTTCCAACAATTATAATAAAAATTTGATTATTTATTTTATTTATTTATATTTTTCAAACATTTTTGTACAGGGATTTAACGGTGCTGACCTTCGTAATATCTGCACTGAAGCCGGAATGTCTGCGATTCGGGCGGAGCGTGATTATGTCATTCACGAAGACTTCATGAAGGTTAGTTTTCTGCATTGTTAAGATATCGATGTTTTATATTAGGAAGAGTAATGTTGGTGTTTTAATTGAACCGAATGAGCCGGGCCTGATCACTTTTCCTCGTGTTCAATTATGTTCGAACATTGTTCCTGTTCGTTTATTTGTTATTCGAGCAAAAATTTGGGTTTCACCTCATCTGCTTAGTTTGTCAAAGTTCGAGTTTGTTCGTGTTTGAATAATTTCGTAAAAAACTTACATTATATTACTTAACTGGAGTTCAATTTATTTGAACTTGTTCGGGTTTGAAATTGTTTTTTTTTTTAATATACTGGTACAAAAACTTTTTATTGAAAATATTTTACTTTTAAATATAAAATGAATAATTGATTTATTAAATTATGTTTGGGACATTATCAAATGTTTGCTGAGTTCATGTTTTACTTTTAAATATAAAACTTTTAAATATAAAATTGATTTATCAAATCATGTTTGGAACATTATCAAATGTTTGCTGAGTTCATGATCGTTTGATTAGCAATTGAGCCTAAGTTTTTGTTTGAGCTCGGCTCGATTTATAAGCAAAAGATCTTTATACAAACTCGATTCGGTTGGTTAAGCCGTTAAGATATCTTTATCAGCATGGTACCTTTTTTTTTTTTCCCTATACTGAAACCATCATCTTAACATCAATGATTCTTGCATAACTACTACATATGGTACTCTCGACAAATCTGGCTTTTCTAATGCTTGAAAAATGTTTCAGGCCGTGAGGAAACTGAATGAAGCCAAGAAGCTTGAATCAAGTGCTCATTACAGTGCTGACTTTGGGAAGGAGTAGGAAAACATGTTCGGGTGATACCCTTTTCATAAGGGCAGTGGATTCTCCTTCTCCTTTAATGAGATTTATGAAATTTTTTCATAAGAGCAGTGGATTCTCCTTCTCCTTTAATGAGATTTATGAGATTTGTTGTTGAACGAACCTTCCAATTGGGCGCTTGCATCCCCACTGGAAAGAATCTTCAGCAATCAGTGTGACTTTTGAAACTCTGTTGGGACCGAAGACAATGTTAAATTTGATTCAAGCTATGTTATTTTTGTTCCCCAGGTACTTAATATAATGTGTTCTGACAATGAGTGCTCTTACTATTAAGAAAAGTTTCTGAATGAGCATGGCATATAAGCCGTAATACACTAGCTTATCTGAGAGTTAAGGGATTGTCCAATAATTATTGAGAAAGACGGTTATGTCTTTGGATGGCTCGGGAGCCATACGATTGTTTTTTAATGTGCTGAAGAGGAGACTCAATAGTCAATACGAGGTTTTCTCATGGAAGATACAAGTTTCCAAGTTAGTTTTCACTGCCACATTATAGCTTCTTGACGGACAACTAAACCTGAGAATAAAAGAACACATGAGATAAAATTGAAAATGAAATAAAAATTTCTGAAAAAGTTAACTAATGATATAATCTCACTTTTTCTCTACAACTTCTATTAACAAAATCAAAATGTAAAAATGATACAATTATATATTTCCAAATAAAAATACTATTCTCCAACTCATTTTATTGATAATTTTATTTCTTTTATATCACATCTAACTTTAAGTATCACATTTATATTATATATTCATTTACAAATTAAATTTTTTTCTCTTTTTCAAAGAATAACTTTTTTTAAGAGATTTTTTTTATTTTTTTTATTTTTCTGGAAAAAAACTCTACATCCAATCGCACGATGTGTAGTTATTAAAGTGAAATCTAACTTTTTATTTTTATTTTTTTCAAAATGATAGGTTCATAGAATAAAAAGATATAATTACAACTAAAAAGTAGCTACAATAAGCCACAATCATCTGAATCTAGGGATGATTCCTAACAACAATTGTAACATAGAGAACTACGCCAACTCATCCACAAACGAACTAAAGTGACATCTAACTCAATGGTTGTTTTTTAAATATGAATAGCCTCCTCATGAGTTGCATTATGTTTTCCCATCTAATTAGTTGAAATTTGTTACGAAAATGGAAATGATGTCGAGGAGATGTATTTGTAATTCTGAAAAGTCTGAATTTATAAAAATAGGCTCAATTAACATACTTGTAGTACGTGATGTAGAAGAAGCCTCCCAATAAAGTTGATTCCTTTTCGAATCAGTAATAACACTACCCGCACCTTCAATCCCAGGTATCAGGGCAAGCATATCGTATGGCTGAAAAAGTGCAAATAAAAGGCCATCAATATACAAAGATCACACATATAAAGGATGATGGTAGATAGTTCATATATCTAAAATTTATGCCCATTGGCTACTGTATATAACCAAATAGTTTGACACATATAACGAGGATCATCGGTAGATAGTTCAAGTTTCTAAATTTATGTCCATTGGCTACTGTATATAACCAAATAATTTGACACATTTAATGAGGATCATTGGTACATAGTTCAAATTTCTAAATTTTGTGCCCATTGGCTACTGTATATAACCAATAATTTGACAAACATTTAATGAGGATCATCGGTACATAGTTCAAATTTTTAAGGAAGACGGTTAAAGGTTAATCGACACCTGATCGAAGCATATACATATTGTGAAATGTGGATGCATAGTTAGAAACAGACTTCACCTTTTTGAGGCCCGACGCAATCACAAGGTCTACAAAACCTGAGGCCAAGAGTGCATAGGCATAACAATCACAGCTGTACAGTGGTACTTTGACCTGAAAAACCGAACAAATGGAATGTCGGGGTAAGATAAGAAGTGGTATTAAGAAAAAAATGCGCTGTAGTTAAATTGAGATTTAAGCAAATCTTTTCTGGGAAATTTTTAACCAGAGTTTATCTTTCATATGCACCCATATAGTTGAAGAAATATGTAGAAAGGACAAGTTAAAGAGTAAATACACAAGAATCAAACCAGCTGCAAGTTTGCATTTACCTTCAACATAGAAACAGAAAAAAATACCACAAAGGTCAATTGCATTGTGCCAAGGCATATGCATAAATATACAACTATCTAGAATTTTAATTTTTCCTTTCAGACTAGAGATAACTGATTAGGTAACTGCAAAATCCCAAAAGTGTCGAACAGAAATTTGACTCGCTGCAAATTGTTCTAGAAGTGTATTCTTTGGTCCATACAATCATATTATAACAGGCCACAGTTAAAGACATTTCACAGACAACTGATGATTCGGATTATTTTCCACACAGATAATAATTGTTAATACAGATTGAATTTAAAGGAAGTATACGTATCCAAGTCTATATCATTACCATGTGAACGTACATTACTTCTTACTCGAGCAAAAGACATTTCGACAGCTACACTAAATAGATGAGGACTAGTTGTGTACCTGAAAAAATGACCAAAACCTCTCAAGATATGATACAGATTTTAACTTAAGAAATACAAATGAAGTTCAGAGTACAGGTTGTTCAAGTTCTTTTACTGAAAGGATACTGCAAAGAAGAACTGGATTTCTCACATAGCTTCCTAATACAGACAGTTGCTAGAATATTTACAGGTATACCATTATGGAGTGAAGCAATTAGACTTCCAAACAAAAGTTTGCATGTGTTAATTTAGCTTTATTAATGGTCAGACGTTAAGATAAGCTTTGTAATATTGGGTCCAACACCCAAACAAAGTCAGCAAATCTTCTTTGCATCTCCATCCATTCTCCTCTCCGTAACTGAAATTGAAATCGTTTATTTTGTAGGATTAAAAATAGACGCTTGGGATAAACTTGATGAAAATAAGAAGCATATGCATATTTTCCATGTTCCTGTAAATATTTATGCAATGTAAAAGCAAAGTAGTTCTATGTGTGCTTATATATATATATATATATATATTTATGCATTTGCATTTGTATCTAGAATATTTATGCATTTGCATTTGTATCATTGTATGTACTTATCTGTGCTATAACGTCGAGAATATGAAATCACAAAGACATGAGCAGAACTATCAGCAAAAATAAAATCATACAGACATGAGCAGAACTATCAGCAAAAATAAAAGGATCACACACTCTCATTCACACAAGTGCAATCTGCAAACCATTCATTTGTGTATTTCCTTGTAATCTATGTGTCTCATTCAAGCCAGATTTATGACAAAATCTGGATTAAGTTGAAGTTCCGACTTCTGAGTTTAATGTATAACAGTTGAATTGTGAAGAAAAAATCATATTTACAATCTGAATATCATGTAAAAAGCACACAGACCAGGATTCAAAGTTATGTCACTTCGTAAATTACGCATGTATCACTGAACTCGTGTAATTCAAATGTCATTCACTACAGAGTTGAAGACCAGTACTGATGCTTAATTGAGATAAAAATCGTACATTATGTATACCGATGATCAGAATTTTCGATTTGGGGAGAAGAACAAATAAGGGGAAAAACAAATAATCTTAATTCATGGACATATCAAAACTGTTAGATCTTCAACAATCATTCATATTGTCTCTCTTAAATCACCAAAAAGTAACAAAAGGAGCTCACATTGCATGCGAAGGAAAATGCTCTTCAATAATTTTCACCATGGACTCCTCCGCCGCTCGATCAACAACCGTCACAGGACCTAATCACAAGCCAATCACTCAAAAAAATAAATTAAAAAAATGACAAATTCTAGCCAATTATACAAACGAACAAAATAAAATCCAAACAAATCAGTAACTCACTCGAGTCCTCCTTATCGAGATTGTCGAACCTCTTCCGGAAGTACTGCCGGATGACGTCACCGGCGGTGTCCACGAGCTTGTTGCCTACGCCAGCGAAGTGGTCGAGGTCACGATCGTCGAATCCAACGGCCACGGCGTCGCCGCCGCAACTATCGCCGTTAAAGAGAGGTGAGCGAGCAGAAGCCATTTCAGCAGACTTCGGTGGTAGCGCGCCGAAATTTAGGGCTGAGCTTGAACGACTGCGATCGGAAAATGAAAATCGAGCAATCCTTGGCGGGGAAGGAAGCCGAGCGGCCGCTTGGAGAGAGAATGTTGGAGTGAGAGAGCATTTGGAGGAGCATTTGAGGGGAGAGAGAGAGAGAGAGAGAGAGAGAGAGAGAGAGAGA